TAACTCAAATTTCAAATGAATTATTTTTCATATTGTATATTATAATGTTGTCATGCCTAAATTCATTTGTAGCATTCAAAACAATTTATTTTAGTTTTTAGTGTTTTATTTTTAATAGTATAAAAATAAATAAAATAATAGTAAAAATAGTATAGAATTTTAATATCTTGTCTTTCATTTGTTGTCAGCCTTGACAGAAAAAGCCACAATTCTAATAATATGTTTTATACATTTAATGTTTATACAATTTTCTGTCCGTTTGAATTTTAAAATGTGTTTAAAATCTGTTACTAATACCAATTAAAATATTCTTTTTGATGACTGCTTGTTATAAGAAGAGCTGACAGTTTGCATCTTTTAAAGGGATTATAGATTGATCTTCTAAATTCTATTTTTGTGGTTATTTTTGGTTTTAGACCTGAGGATGGGCAGCCTCCAGAGATGTTTGACAATCCCCTTTATGGCTCAATGAGTTCATCACGAGGAAGTAAGGACCATCTCCCTCCGCCAGATGCTCACTTCTCCTTTCCCAAAACAGACCTTGATGCTGACCGTCAGCACCCTGTTCCGACCCCTCGCTTCCGCTCTTTCACCTGTTCAGAAACCAAACCCCAGTCATCATCAGCCACAAACACCACGAGCAGTGGTCTGCAACCCCAGAACATCACCAAGAAGCCAGTGGTGCCTTCTCGCTCTGAAGGGGGCATGATTGGGCCTAATAGACCTCCGGTGCCTATGAAGTCTCGCCCTGGTCAGCCACAAGAGCTTCAACCAAAGCCCAGAGACTACAGAGACAGCTCTGAGCTTCCATCCAAGTTACGGCAACAAACCAGACAAGGCCAACCCAAAGACGGTATGATAACCACAGTATATTCTCCACATTCCTTCTATGTGGAAAACAGTAGATCAGGGGTCTCGAAACTCATCTGTCAACTGACAGCGAGCTGCAAGGGCTGTGCGTAAACAGCTCTATTGATTATAATGCTTTGAAATAATGTATATTTGTGAAATTTGCCTTGATATGTAATATATTTAAATACCTTTCCCTTCTCTTTCAATTGTAATGTCTGTCCTTAGGGCATCATGAGACACAACAGCCACAACTGAAGATGGGTCGGCCATTAAAATGATTTCCTACTGATGTGTCATGGCAGGAGAGCTGTCAGCGCTGGCGTGAGCTTCATATCTGATACTTGAGACTCTGTAGTACTGGGCAAAAGACATAAGCTTCTTTATCTCGGAGTACTAAAATGAATAAATGTATAAACAATAGCAAGACAAAGAGCTTGGATATTGATTTTAAAATGATGAATGTTTTACCGTTTGAATGTCACTGCATATAGTCATACATAGAGCAATCATTTCTATCAGCCTCTGTTTAAACATTTCATGTTGCTTAAAACATTTATATTAAAGAGAGAAGAGTGAACAGTTGTAATCGTATAATAAAACCAAGTGTTGTACAGTCATTGATTTCTTATTTGTTGATTTGTAGTCCACCAATAGGCCACCAATAGTTGTTTTTAGAAATCCAAGCAGTGTATCACTTTTCAAAATTACACATTTTCCATTTTTCCCTCTTTCCATCGTGTTTTACAATATATGGCATTGCAGAGCTTATATTGTAAATAACAAGGAACAAGTAATCAGTCTTGCTTCTCCGATTCAAATTAGACCAATATACCATGTCACCTATATCACCAAATAAATAAATAAATAAAGTTAGGACTAGTGCTGAAGAAAAAAGAACTACATGACTATCTTGTAAGGCTGCTCGAAGAAGTTTATGCAACTACTGGGCGAAAGTTAATAAGAATTTTGCCCGTGCTTTTTTATTATTTGCCTCCATCTGCTGGTGAAAGGGTAAATTACCAGAGATTCTGCTATTAAAGGAGGGCCTATAGGACAACGGGATGTAAGTTTGCTAGTAAAGCCGTGTGGACACCGTGAAAGTTAATTTTCTGGCATCATTTAATTATTATTTTTAAAAGTTTTATTTAAAAAAATAAGAATTTATAAGATTTTTTTTCGTAAATAAACTTTCCTATTCTGTATTTGTGAGGCATTTTCCGCGATGCGTACAGATGACGCAGACATTTCTCCACCAATGGGAGCGTTACAACTTCATTTGTTTAGCCAATAGAAGCACGAAGTGAAGAATGCGGCAGCTCTCGTTGATGACGTATGTGATCTGAAGCACAAAACCGCGTGAAAATGGCAAGTGTTATTTAGCGATAACAAACAGTGTTTTCCGTTAAAAAAGGAAACAGTTTTGCAGCGACCAAATACATATGTTTGCAATATTTAAAATGTATTATTGTTTACTGCACACCGCTGTTGGTGAGGAATTAATAATGGCAGCAGCCTGCTAACGGCTAGCTAACTTGTCCAATCGCAAACCATTTTTATTGTTATTCTTTTCATTTCAAATCGACACCGGCCATTTGATAATGCCTTGGAATTTCTGTTTTCGAATAGAGTAATTTAGAGCCAGTGTAAACTGCTTTTGGTGTGTACAATTAGATGACTTCGCTCATTGTGTAAAACGTTGTACTGTATTTCACGTCTTAAATCGCATTTTCATATCGTTTGGTCAACTTTTGTTCTTATATCCGGCCTTAATTTGAATGTAACATTCAAACATTTAATTCCTCAGCTCTTCTACTCGTTCTTCAAGTCCTTGGTTGGCAAAGATGTTGTGGTTGAGCTCAAGAATGACTTGAGGTAAGCACTTTTTTTTTATAATATATCACATACTTTTAAAATATAATATGTGCACTGTGTAATTTATGTGGTAACTCATTACATTCTTAATGTCAATTTTGCAGCATTTGTGGAACATTACACTCAGTTGATCAGGTATGGCTGCACATTCCGCTTTATTGAAATATAAGCAAATATTGAGTGAATTTCACTATAAAATGAAACGTGTTCTCCCTTCACAGTATCTGAACATCAAACTGACAGATATCAGTGTCACTGATCCAGAGAAATATCCGCACATGGTGAGAACGTGTCAAGTGTGTTCTTTGTTATAGATAAAGAAGTGTGCATATTATTTAAACCCCAGTCAGTGAATAGATTGATAATGAGAAGTAAAACTTAAATAGCAGAAAAGAACACTTGTCTGGTCTGTGCCTAGAACCTCAGCCACTTGATTCTGACATGTATGAAATGTCATATTGAGTTTGAACAGATGAACACCTTCAGGAGAACAATTTCTATATATGACTCTTTATTATTTTAGTTGTCGGTGAAGAACTGCTTTATCCGTGGATCAGTAGTGCGATATGTTCAGCTTCCTGCGGATGAAGTGGACACACAGCTGCTACAGGATGCTGCACGCAAAGAAGCTATGCAACAGAAACAATAATGTTTACATTTGAGAATAGTTTTTTGTTGGACTGTTCACAAGCATCATCTGTGGAGTTTTGTAGTTTAAATGTTTTTTTTTGTTTTTTTCCTACCTGAAACTTTTATGTAAAGTTTGGATTTTTTTTCCTAAATATTCATTTACCGCTGTTGTCATGAGGCCCATTACTGAGAGGGAATGACTTTTTTTGAGTTAGTAGTGGTTTTGTGCTTTTAATAATGTTTGGAAGGTTCTGTATTGAATCCAAATGACTTTTTAGTTAAGTTCTTCGACCTACTAATACAAGAATAAAGTATTTTCTTCCACGGTCTACTTTTTGTTATTGTAGTTCAACCATTGAAACATTTACTGACTGGCTGCGTTCAAATTCGCATACTGTCTGAATAAATACTTATGTTGAATATGTAGTTATTTTATGGGTGTTAAAAAAAAGAATGTTTCATATCATGGGTCTCCAACCCTGCTCCTGGAGCAGAACTCCCATCCTGCAGAGTTCAGCTTTAACCCCAATCAAACACACGTAAAACATGTGGAAGAGCCCAGGGTTACTTGATAATTACGGACCGGTTTGTTGGAGCAGGGTTTGAACTGAAGTCTGCAGGAAGGTGGCTCACCAGGCACAGGGTTGGAGACCACTAATATAAAACATACTTTTTTTTTAACAGTTGTAAATTATTTGTTTTATGTCATATGAACTTGGATGTATGATATACGTCATGTGACCAACCAGTGTCACTTGCGTTGCTTCACTTTCCAGTCACAAATCCTCTCTTGTAGCCTCATGCAGTAGTTAAGTGTCCGTTGTAAGTGCACTTCAGAATCTTGATGGAGATTACTTTTTAACCACTCCTTTATGAATACTTTGAATTTGGACGTTCCACTTGTCTCACGTACGGTTTTTGGCCTACTAGTGGGGAAGTATCTGATTTTGGATGCAGCCAAAGCATATGTTGCACAGCTTAAAATGTTTATATACCTGTTAAGACGGGGTGCCCGACCCTGTTTCTGGAAATCTACCTTTCTGCAGAGTTCAGCTCCAAACCTGATCAAACACAACTGAACCTACTAATTAGGGTCTGAAGGAGCACTTGATAATTACAGACAGCTGTGTTTGATCAGGGTTGGAACTGAACTCTGCAGGAAGGTAGATCTCCAGGAACAGGGTTGGGCATCCCTGGTTTAAGGTGTAGGAACAGTGTGTATGACTTGTTAAATATGGGGGGGACACTTAAAGTTTTTGTTTTTAGTGTTTATTTTTCCTTTGTACAGTGTAGTGGAGTTCTGTAACTATTTTAAATGGTTAGAAGCTATTTGGTATTGTGCTTTAAAACAATGGAACATCATAAGATTTAATTTAAATAATTCTAATTATTGATTCACTCATCTTTATCACTATACAGCTTATTTACAGTGTTTTAAAAGGTGTCCCTAAAAGTACTCCTGGGGGCAGGGGATACGATTTTTTATGACATTTCTTGCTATCAACTAGTTTCTACCTAAAACTGTGAAGCTTACTGTATTTGACACACACACACAAACTAATGCAACATTTGGCTGTAGCAGAGCATTGCTAAATTTTAAAGTTTGTTTAAAAGTTTATTGTATGTAGAAATAATAATCATTTTTTAACGGTCTCAAATTTATACCATTTTAGCATGTTAATGTTATGAACACCTTTTAACAGAGTGCCCAAGGATGTGCTCATTAGCTCACCAATGAACTTGAAATCTGTTAATTTGGTTGAACCAGGTGAACCACAAAATTGAGACAAATTGCTATCAGCCGTTGGTTGATTTTCCATTCGAGGCCTTACTGACACGCTCGCAGATTACGTTTAAATTAAACAGATTCGGAGTTTTTTTGAGAATGGTAGGTGTTTTTTTTTTTTTTCTCCTTTTCATAAGTTTACGGTTCTTACAAAACTCGGCGTGACCGTAGAAAGCGTTTTGACGTTCCGCGTCATTTCGAGTTCAGAACGCGCCCATGATATCCACAAAGATACGTTTGGCAACATTTTATTACGACTACTTTTCTCGGTTTTGTTTGTTTGTTCGTGTTTATGACAAAGGTTTATTACAATTACTAGCCTGTGGCATTTGAAAAGCACTATGGGTGACTTTACTGAAGTCATGAATTGGGGACGGTATTGATTTCTGATATACCAGACCGGTTCCAATGGTGCTAGTCTGTGTTTTCAGGAGAAATGCATGAATGAGAGCTTTGACGTGGATGAGTGTTGCTCTGAGCTGCACCAAGGCAAAGTAAGTTTAAAGATGGAAAAGGACGTTTGTCAATTATTTAATGATTAGCAAGTTTTACGTTCCTTGTCTTGATGGCCTGTTGCTTTGTCAATTAGATGGATGAATGCATTGCCAAGAGTTCTCTAAACTCCTTACTCAAAGAGCTGTTAGATGAAAAGGTAGTGTTTTCTAAATAAAATTGCTTTAAATTATTATTATTATTTTTTTCTTCAGTGATCCATTTTTTTTCCTCTTGTTTTTTTAGATTTCTACTCGGAGGAAAAATCATTGGATACTTGGCCCTGAGGACCTCAATGATACTCTTGTTTATGATTTTGAGATTGAAGAAGCGGCCTGAGCTTTGTATTAATGCATACATGGTGTTGCTTTCACCTGTGAATAAATGTTGCAGGTGAAAGTGTAGTTTTTAAAAATCGCATCAGCTAATAGTAACTTGTAAATAAAGTGTATGTATATTTACATGCTGTGTAAAAATGTGTGTGTAGCCTACTTGTGAGGTCCTCACTATTAAAAAATATCCTCACTGATATAGTGAAACCTGTTGAACCAATAGTGAGCTTTAGTAGTTTAGAAGCCCTGACTAACATAGTGAAACAAACAGGTGTTTATGTAGGCCTATACCATATTTTAGGGACACATTTGTACTTTGATGTTATATAAACTGGCAAAACCAACATTCAGGGATGTTCTTATTTGTAAAAACAGTATTGCAAAAACATTTTCAGTTAGGATTAGGTTATAGCTACGATATATATGAAAATAGTTTATTGAATGGAAAAATTTATGTAGCAAAGTAAATCTGCAGTGTTGGGGGAAAGTTACTTTTAAAAATAATGCATTACAATATTGCGTTACTTCCTAAAAAAACTAATTACGTTACTTAATTACTTTTTATGGAAAGTAATGCATTACATTACTTTTGTGTTACTTTTTAAATCTGGGCAGGGCTTGCTTGTTTGTTTTTAATATAAGTTCTATTTTTGGCAAATGTAAAAGCCCTTTCACACCAAAATCCTTGGGCAGAAGGAAATGTAAATTCACATTTGTACAGTAGAATGCAGAAGAAGAAAGTTCAACACTCTTCAGCAAAAAAAAAAAAAAAGAACAACTGTTGGTTTATCTTGAGTAATTTTTGCTTATTAGTATGGTTGAATTGGATCATCGAGGGTCAGGAGCAAAGACACTGGTTAATAAAATGGGATTAAATACATAAAGGATATTTGTATTAACATATTTAATTATTGCAGGTTGCATTTAACTGTTTTTATTAATTTTGAGGAAAACTGAATCAGTTTTTTTGTGAGTGAGATGAATTAATGCATATTGACATTTAGTCTAGAAAAAAAGTAACTTAAAGTAACATCTTACTCTCGATTTCTCTGAACATGGGGACAGGAGAGCTTTCAATCAATAAATGGATGGATGGATGGATGGATGGGGGATGGGGGGATGGGGGGGAGTAACTGGCGTTACTTATTTGAAAAAGTAACTCTGATATCTTCTTGTAAATTAAAAAGTAATGCGTTACTTGAAAAAAAAGTAATCTGATTACTTAACTTGCATTACTTGTAATGTGTTACTCTCAACACTGGTAAATCTGTATATGTGCGAATCAGATTTTTGTCTATATCAGGGGTCACCAAACTTGGTCCTGCAGAGTTTAGCTCCAACCTTAATCACACACACCTGAACCAGCTAATCAAGGTCTTGCTAGGCATACTTGAAATGTCCAGGGCTGCATTTCCCAAAAGCATCGTAAGCTTAAGTACATCGTAGACCCATTGAAACCTATGGAGCTACGATCAACTTGGGCTTAACGATGCTTTTGGGAAATGCAGCCCAGGCAGGTATGTTTAGGCAAGTTGGAGCTAAACTCACCGAGTATGTTGACCCCTGGCCTATATTGTTAGGGGCAGACTTCTGTCCCCACAGAGAAAACTTGCACAAAAAATTTGAAAATGTGGAAATGTATGGTTTAGCAGATCAACAATACTGGCTCAGTATAAAAACAATAAAAGTCAATGGAAATTCTCCACTATGGTAGAAAAAATATGTTTGTGTTGCACTCTGAGCTATATTGTTGCATTTTTGTGTTATATTGGTTTGGAAAAAGGAAGCAAAAGAATCTCAGACCTGTTCCAGAGTAACGCAACAGGATCTGATACTTTTATGGTCTGTAATGCAGTTTTCTAATCCCTCCTCCCAACCCCTCAGAATTGCTTTTATGTTGCAGACTTGTACTATATGGCCTTGTGTTGAACTGATTAATAACTTTTAGTTGGATAATGATGTCTTCAGTCTGTATAACACTATACAGTAGGTACAGTATACAGTAATGCAGGGGTCACCAGACTCTGTCCTGGAGGGCTGGTGTCTAGTAGTGTTTAGCTCCAACTTGCCTAAACACACCTGCCTGGAAGTTTTAAGTATACTGAAATTTCAGGTGTGTTTGATTAGGGTTGGAGCTAAACTCTGCAGGACATTGGCCCTCCAGGACCGAGTCTGGTGACCCCTGCAGTAATGGTACTATAATGTGCGCACTGTGAGTCTGAGCATTATTTGTGCAGTCAAAATAATTTTGGCCAATGGTTTAAATATCAGCATGTTGAAGTGGTATATGTATATGGTTGCTGTGTAGATGGTGCAGTTTGTCACCTGTTGACTATGTGAATTAGTAGTGCCTGTATAAAATAAAGCGAATCTCAATGAAAACTCTGTAGCTGAACCATTCTGGGATGCGTTTCCCAAATGCAACTATGGTCGCAAGTTCCGTCATTACCAATAGAGTTCGATGGAACTTACCACCATAGTTAGCTAACGATGATTTTGGGAAACGCACCCCTGTTGTGTTGAACTACTGTGGTTCATTCTTTCTTTGTGATACTCCAGTCCTGTTTAAGGAATTGATACATCAGAGGTATGGAGCTTCCAGTGTTGTTTTTCACTACCCCAGCTTGTGGTGATTTGGTTCCCTGCTTTTTATCTTGACTCTCTAACAATTCTGCTATTGTTGTAACATGCAAGCCTTCCCATAATGCTAAGCTTAATATAACAATTCTGCTATTGTTGTAATGCGCAAACCTTCCCATACTGCTAAGCTTAAATATATACATATGAAGAGTTCAGATGCAAAAGCCTCTAAATGCCGTCTGAAATTTTCTTCTAAATTGAGCATTTTTATCAGGCTCCTTTATTTATGTTCAGTTATTTCACTTTAATTGCATAGAAAATGACCTACGATTGATGTGGAAAAAAAGTAATTTAAAGCAGTTTAACATAAGGCTGCAACATAACAAATTGTGAAAAAGTGTGTTGAATACTTTCGTAAGACACAGTATATATATATATACAGTGCACAGCATAAATTAGTACACCCCCTCTGATTAAATATAAAAGATGTATTTTCTTAATGATCACTAATATAATTCATAGAAAGATGGAAAAATTGAAATGTATTAAACATATTCTTAATAAAAAACAGAGAAATACATGCCATTAATATCTGTAAAATAAGAAACTTATTTAAACTAATTTTTGTTTAAATGAAGGATTGCAGAATTGAGTACAACATAGATTTAATTCAACCAAGTGTAATATTCTAGAACTTAATATGTCCTCCATAACTCTTAAGTACACTGCTCTGACACTTCTTGGCACTGAGTGTACAAGTTCATGACAAATTTTCACATCTGTGCTGTTTAACTCCTGGTGGACGACCTCCTTAAATGTCCTGGTCTTTAATGGGGAGTGTTGCTCAGCTCGTCTTTACAGAATCCCCCACAGCTGCTCAAGAGCGTTAAGATTCCACTGAAGGATCTTCAGCTCAGGAGAATGAATATCTTCATTGTCATGTAGCATCTTCGGTTTCAGGTTTTTGTATTAAATCACACAGTGGTGTGTGAATTCATGACAGCGTTGATAAAGTAGTACAACTCCCTCACACCTTCAGCACTCATCCCTATAGAAGAGCTTTACTACCACTCAATGCCCCTGTGGGAACCAGGCACTTCTCTCTGTACTCCTCCTCTAGCAACACCAGAACATTTTGGATGCTTTTGGATCCGAAATGATTGAATTGGTCTCTAGAGACCAGAGTATGGATTCCCAGAAGTCTATATTTTGTAAATATGGGTCTTGGAAAAAGCTAAATGAGTTTATTGTGCTTTGGCAGTCGGTAGTTCTGGTGTGGATAAACCATGCATGTCACTTCTGCAGGCTGCGTCATACTCTGTGAGATAAAGTGTCCCTCTTTTCACAGTTTTTGCCGGCTCTGAGACACTTTCACAGTGTTTCTCCTGCTCTTTTTCTAGCAAAAATTCACTCATCACTAAATGAAAACTTAAAGTCAAGACCTGATTATTTCAGGGGCCTTTTCACAAGTCCATTATTTTTGAATTTCTGTGTTACTTTGGCTATATTTTCACACTTAAAACAATAATTTGGTATTCCTCTTGTACCATTGTCCTCTTTTATGCTAGGGAATAAATCTCCTGACAGTTCTCTCTCAAGTGGTTTCAATGTTGTCAGCATTAAGTCTGAGTATGATTCAGTGGGCCATATAACACTTCGTTATCAAGAAATTACTTACCTTTAACAGTTTTGGTTCAACATACTTACCTGTTACACCAGAATTTTTTTTATCTTACACCAGAATTTTTTTTTTAGTTTTATTTAGTAACTTTCATGAGGGTGTACTCATTATTGCAACACAACATTTTATCACTTTGAAAAGAAAATGGTATTTTCTTGATAATTTTAACATTCTTCTTTGGTAACTGATCAAGCAGACTTGCTGGAATATTATATCTCTAAAAAGCCATATGTCTTCTAAGCAAAGAGTAATTACTGAATTTGTTAAGTTTCAGAGGGGGTGTACTCATTTATGCTGTGCACTGTATAT